GAAAAAGCAAGTTATTTTTTTCTTTGTGGAGGGCTTTAAATAAATATTAAGGACTGAAATACAATAGCAGAAAAATTTTAAGAATAGAGAAAGTTGAAACCATGGGTCTCTTTCCTAAAACCTGTGAACCCATAGGCATGTTTGTGCAGAGGGAAAACTCAGTCTTTGTTAGGTTTTGTTTGACATAATTTCTGAATGTGGGGCTACAGGGATACACAGCACAATCACACTAAAATGTATGATGTTGTCAGGGTTACTGCTGAGGATAAACAGTAGAACTGAGAATGAAATGCAAGAGGTGGTTTTGTGGGTTCTTCGCTGTCAAAAGGGCTGAATGCCTGTGGGCTCTCCCCATCCTTTTCCTATGGGCTCTGATGAGTTGAAGGGCTGTTTTGGGTCAGCTGCAGCTAAGCCACTGGTGCACTGCAGTGAGGGAGCTGCTGTGCCTGGAGGGAAAGGGATGAAGCAAAGCTGAGGGACTTCGGAGGACAAGGCTGGGAGGCTTGGGTAGCTCTCTGGCCAGGGCAGGGCTGGTATCTGCTGTTGGGGTCCACTGCCAGACCGAGAAGTATGGGTTGGTACTTTGTCTTATACTTTTTTCCTTACACATTTTCATTAATGATTATTGGGGTGGTGTGAATGCTTTAGGTTACAGCTTTGTAAATCCGCCTGGAAGCACTTTAAAAGTTATGGGGTGAAAAGGGAGGGAAATGGAAACTTACAGAAGCACGCAGGAACACGGCCTCTTGGAGTGAATTGAGGGTAGGATTTCCTGTCACTGATATGTAGCAAAATATTCTGTTAATCAAAAGGGTTTTTTTGACCTAAGCTAATTTTGATCCTTGCTTGGTTTAGGGAAAACCTTCAGCTTATTTGCAGGACTGCATCATACCCCCTTTTATAGCTGGTTGTGTCAGCGGTTTCCACTGCAAACCCTGCATTAGGGTTCTTGTAACTTAGCTGTATAAATTTGATCTGGACTTTAAAATTGGCATGTATGTTCTTGATTTGGAAGCAAGTATCGAGACTGGCTGGCTAATCTGTTGGCTATGCAAATAATATTGCTGTAGTAAAGGCTGTGAATAATATGATACAGCTCTCAGTTTCCATTGAGCACAGAGGAAGCTTATTTGCCACAAAGAGCAGGTGCACCCATGGCTCTTTTTCATGAAGTGGTAAGCTAGATCCCAAGTGTCCCAAACCTGTTGGGAGTCTGGAGTGTAAGTTGGGTTTTTGCTTCCTTCCTGGGAGAGGAAAAAGGGAAGGAAGAGCTTTGGTGGGCCCGGTTATGCAGGACGCTCCAGAGCACAGCGATACCACCTTTGTGTTGGTGGTGTTCAGCTCTCAGACCTGAGTACACCATGCTCCTGGCTCTGCGGGCTGCCTTGTGCCAGGGCCACACATCAGGAATCAGGTCAGACATGTGAAACTTGTGTGAGGGAGCCGGTACTGCTACAGAGCATAATTGTGCCCCCCCTTGTGTTTTGGGGCAAGGCTGTATTTTCCAAAAATACCGTAAGAGGTGCTTCTCCATGCTTGCAGTGATTCACCAAAGGGGTGCTTTCTGGCATACTTTGAGCCCTATGTACAATTGGGAGCATGCTGTTAAAATACTGGCTATTGGTGCAAGGGGGTACTTTGGTCAGGTGAAATGACACTAGGGATAAATGTAGTAGTAACAGGTAGTGAGTGTAAATATTACCAGGAAGTGTATTATAGCAGGGAGATAAAGCCCTTGTGGTTTGAACTTCTGTGTGAAAAGGCAGAGCATTATTTGATAAGAGAAGTTGTCTGATCACTTATCTTGTGATTCTCCAAGTTCTCCTGTAAAGTTCTTTCTGTGTGTGGTTGTGTTGTGTTTTTGGGGTTGTGGTTATTTTTTTTTTTTAATTATTTTAAATACCTTAATTTAGGGAAGGATATAGACTGAAAGAGAAGCAAGAGTGGTAATGATACAAAGATCATTGTCTGGTTAACTTCTGCTTTGATTATGCATTTCTTTAAACAGAATTGCTATAGCCAGCTGCACGTCAGAAATGCTCAAGGGGTAAAAAATAAGCTGGAGGGATTTCAGGTAGCCTAGGAAGATTTAAATTGGGAGCAATGAATTACATTCTGAGAGAAAGTTGCAGGTGACATTAAAGGATGTTTGTGTGGTGGGGGGACCATTATTTACTGTCAGACTATGAAGTAGTTTCTTTGGGAGAGTGGTTGTGATGCACTATCACATGAACCATTTGTAGCTAGGATTGATTCAAGGGAGGTGGCGTGGAAAAGATGGTGTGGGAGCTTCTGTCTCTAGTCACATAGACCATTTTCTTATGAATAACTGCAATTTAAGTATTTCGTTTATTACTGCCCAAAAGCTAAATAATGACAGTTCAAATAAGAGATGCTTGTCAAGTTTTCTTAGTTGTGTGAGGAAAAATAGATGGTTATGTGTTAATTAGAAGTGAATTAAGCTACAAATTACATTGCTTGAGAGAGATGCACATGTATGTGCACACATGCAATTTTCCTAGAAAGAATATTTCAAAATATCTCATTAAAGCATGAGAGTAAAAAAGCTATTTTTCTTGGGGTTTGGTTTTGTTTAATGTTGGTTACTGCAAAACAAAATAACAGGCTGGCTAAGATTTAACTCAAGAAAATAGTTGTATTCCAGTGTGGTTTGGGCTGTTGGCTTTTAAAAGCCTGAGGTGTAGAATTCTGCTGAGATTACTTTTTATACTGTTCCTTTTGAAGTTGACTATGTACCAAGAATGGGTTTCCTTTTGTTTTGTCTCTGTTTGGAATATACTTTAAAGCAATATTTGCAGTTTGGGAATTCTGATGTTTAAAACAACAACAAAAACTTTTTAATTTTTAATTTTTTCTTCAATCAAACAGAACTGAAATCTAGTATTAGATAGGCGATTTTGTTTATGTTTATCAGAAAGTATCCTGAGCATCTCTGGATGGCATAGGCTGGCTTTTGGCTTTCAGCCATGAAGCTGGTTGCTGCTGAGGGGCAGAAAAGAGGTTTTCTGCTGGGGGCTGTGGGAGTGATTGGCCTCAGCAGGTGCCTGATCATGAAATGTCTCTCCTGCTTGCCTCCCCCTCTGTTGCCAAATGAGCTTCCCAGAGTACAGAGACATGGAACTACGTGGGAGGAAACCTTTCTGGTTTGGCAATTTTGTAGCTTTAAAGTCAGTTGTGTTCACATTAAAAAAAAAACCTTCCTATTTTTTTGTAGCTGCAGTTCATGCTCGATTTTAAAAACTTGCCTCATACTGTAAATACAGAATTAAAACAGATCCATCAAGGACTTAAAGAATATTTGTGGGGCTTTGAAGTTAGTTTGATTCATAGGTAGACAGTTTTATAATTTTAATGCTATATTCTTCTGTGCATATGTTTTTTTGCATTGATTCCATTTGTTTCCACATATATATTTAATAAAGGTATCTTTTAAGGATATACTTTTTTCCACTAGGAATCAAGCATTAAGTGCTTTTTTGCTTTTGTTCATCACTTTACTAATCTTTTAGTATTTAAGCATGGGTAATGCTGTAGTTCACTGGTGACTTATGCCAGATAATTTTACTAAGCTAAGGTTAAATTTGCAGTTAAGAACAAAATCACTCATACAGGACAAAAAAAAGTGTTACAAAAGTAGTAATGAGTTTTTAAGAACAAAATCACTCATACAGGACTCAAAAAAAAAGTGTTACAAAAGTAGTAATGAGTTATAAATGCCATTTCAAAACTTCCTGTATTTTAGCACCTAAACCTTTTTACATCTTCTGCATCTGTTGAATTTTTCAAAATCTAGGTGAAAAAAATAAAATAGAGTTAGTTTTCATTGTGACAAGGAATATGGGGAACCTTTCTTTCAGTTTTGTTTTGAATATGTACACATTTCTGCATACATAATCCCGAGGATGTATATGGATTTATTGTTTGTAACGGTAATGCACAGCTACAAGGCTAAGAAGTGTCAAAACTGAAGCTCCTGGGTTATAAAAATGCCTATAGTGTAGAAAATATCGTTAATTATTTCAAGTGTTCTAATTCCTCCTATTGTGTTCAGTGTAGATATTTGTTTATTTTTATATACCTGTTCTTGTAATTATATTCCTCTTGCATCTGTGGTAAAACTCTGCCCTTGTAGCTTCAGTCTCACTTCATTAGAGGTGCTCCACAAGCCAAGGATGCTGGCTGGTACTCTTCAGGAAGACTTGTACTCCAGCTGAGATTTCCTAGAAGTACCAACTTCATCTCTCTTGGTTAGTCAGATCTTTTAGCTGAAATTAGTAGGTGTTATGTGGAAGTCTTATTCATTGTATCTAGATAAGGAGATTACTACTCTGACATCCCTCTGCATGTGCATTTCTTCACACTCTTGTCCAGTAGTTTGTTTGTTCAGGTGTGTCTTGTGACAGCCTCACCTGATTCAGTCCCCTGCCTGTACAGCAGATCTTGTGGATGTAGTCAGGGGCTCATCATGCTTCATGGGACCTGAATGCTTTTTTCCTCATCTCCAGGGTGCACTTTCCAACCGTGTTTTTCAGGCATTTTCAGCCTGGGTTTTTGCAGAAATTATTTTACAACTCTCTCCCATGTGTGCTTGCAAAGAGCTTCATCCCCAGTAGGCAACAGTTTAAAAGTGACCTTTTGAAAGTCAGGTGATTAGTTGTAGGTTGTGTGTTGGTCACCAGAATCAAACAAAAAAAAGTGATATTTTTTATTTATTTATTAGTTTTATTTTATACTTCTTTGGATCATAAGGCCCCTCCTGCCCCCATGAAAACAGTCACCCTGAAGCCTGCTTTTGAAGTCTTGCTGCTGAATGTGTAAGTTGCTTTTTTCATCACAAACTTCAATGCCTGAACACCATGCACATCTGCATATATTTGGAGAAAGCTAAGTTTTATTCACTTCAGCAGTCCAATCACAAAGCATAGTGATCTGTTTGACCTTTAGCTTTTAGTGCCCTCACGTTCCTTTCCCTTTTCCAGACCTTGCTGACAAATGTCAGCATGCCATAACATATCGGTTTAGGGATCCGTTTATGGTAGGTTCCACCCCTCACCCAAAGGTTTAGGGATCTTCCCTATAAATAGCTACATTGGTCATAGCTTTCTATATGCTTGTAGGGTTCCCTGATCTGTGTTTTATAGTAACCAGGTCTCTTAGCTCAGATTTTTGGTATGAACACCAAATTTTGGAGGAATTTTGGCTTTCTTGAAGTCTTTTCTAAAAGGATGCACCAGACCAGTTGTAATTCTGATGAATTTAGCAAGTCAGTAAGTTTTTTCTGAAACTAGTGCAATTGCATCTCCTTTTTTGTCTTCTACTTTTCTTACACAGGACTTGCTCTGGTAACTTTCCCTTGTTAGCACCCTTTGTTTTCAGTTCTGGGTAAAATTGCTTTGTGGACTTGTAATGCTGAGGAACTAGTTGCTATTTTGAATCTGAGAGATGACAAGTCTTCTGACATCTCAGGCCTCCCCTTTCACCAGAATGATGTATTTGATAGTGTAAGACTAACAATAAATGGAAGGATTTTTCTGGTTTTGTTTGAATTTTTGGCTGTTGTTTTTAGTTGCTAAAGACTGCTACTGCAGATGTCTGTGGGATGTAGATTAATGTTGAAAAATGCTGGCCATGATCCACTGAATGTGAAATTTCCTGCTTTCAGTCTGTATGTTGTCAAATTGTATATTTTTGGAGTATTGCATTTGCGTTTGTCTTACAGCATTACACATTTCCCCCCCCCGTTAAAGTATTTGCCTTCAGATGCAGTCACAGCTGTCATGTATTATAGTCTCCGAGATTTTAGGAAAGCCTTAACCATATCAGGTAGGCTGATGGGACACTTTCCACGGGTTTACCGACAAGTGACTGTTTATACACAAATTCAGACTGTGTCCCTGGTATTTCATGTACTTCTACCCCTTTGCCATAGAAAGTTTTCAAGACCTAGTCTTGCTTCTCCTGTTGAAGTGGATGGTGGAGAGTGGTGACTGTATTCTGTGGTTGGTCATTGTCAAAAGGAACCACAAGGAACCAAAACTTCTTGGTCCTACTGAATGAACTAAACCAGAAGCAGTTAAAAACCAGCGTAGATCAAAGCCTTCCTTCTGCCTTGCTTTGAGAAGTCACTTATTAGAGCATGACTGTGGCCCAAGGTGTGAACTCCACTTCTGGAAATAAAGATGAAGTAATTCTACTGTTTGCAGCACCTCCCTAAAACGTAGCAGTTTTTTCAAGGAACAGACTGATGCAGGCAAAGGAAAGAATTAAGTTTTTTTTATGTAAAGCACAAGCAGCTACAACTCTCTGCTGTAAGACAGGAAATATATCTCGAAACAAAGAGGGAATTTGTGCCATCTAGGACTACTCTTTGCAGACAGCTATGAAATGATTAGCATATTGAGAACTAGGGATAGAAATCAGTGTGTAGAACTTACCATGTGTTGCTTTATTTCTATTTCTATTCTTGGGAATAAAGCTAGTCGAAATTCAGTGTCATCAGATGAAGAGATTAATTTATTATTCAGTTGGGGTCAATAATGTGAACTTTACAAAGGTTTCTGTTGCAAGACTTTCTCATTCAAGTGTACCAAAGGCAGTTGAGCTGAGCTTTGGCATTGACGTTGATCAAAGAGGCAGACTGCTCAAGAGGCCTTTCTTAGTCAGATCTGAATATGCTGTGTGTCACTGGGGGCTGTAAACCTACTGAGAGAAAGGCAAAAAAAAAAGTCCTGTAACTGGTCAGTCTGTGATGTTGAACTTATGACTTTCTAGTAGTTGCAGCTGGGGAAAAGTCAGCTTCACTGTTAATGAAGCTTTGCATGCATATGGCCAGTCATTAACAAATATATAAACTCTGAAGAGATCATTTACATAGAAAATCTAGAATAAAAAAGCTGGTTTACAGACTCCTTCTCTCGTGAGAAAAATTTAATATATGAAGAGACAAGAGGCTGGAATTTGGCATCCAGGAAACTATGTGTGTATCCTTGCTTGTGTCCCTTGGTGAATGTGCACAGCTTCCAGACAGTAAAGTAGAAGTGGAGTTTGATTTTCAAAAAACCACGATACTGTGCAATACTTTTCCTGTCTTTCAAGTGAAATGAGAACAAGAACCTATAAATACTGCTTCGCCAGAAAGAAAGATAGTGCAGCAACTTTCACAAGGACACACTCAAAAAGGAGAAAGATTTTTCTTTTCCCACCTTTTTCTTTCTACAAAACAACATTCTGAATAAGATGTCATGGTCCTGTATTCAAAGAATAGAAACATAAACCATCCAAGTTTCTTACGTAACCGTTCTTGTGATATTTCAGCTTAATGATGGTGGCAAGGCAGCGCAAGCACACGTGGGGATAGGTGATGTGGTTCTCACCATTGATGGGATAAGTACAGATGGGATGACTCATCTAGAAGCACAAAACAAGATCAAGGCGTGTACAGGCAATTTGAACATGACTCTGCAAAGGTAAGACACCTTGTCCTTTTTTTTTAAAAAAAAAAAAAGAATTAATCATCATAGTAATAATTGTTTGGAGGATAAAAACATGTAAGTGGTTTGGCAAAGTGCATGGAGTTAAGTGGTCATGATTGAAAGATGTGCTGCTGTAGCCTGTAATGTTATCTTGATTTATAGCATTTTAGAAAGCTTATTACATGTTAAGTATGTGAGTTGACAAAGACCTTTTCCAGTCTTCTGTCATCTACTCTATATTGAATGAAGTCTAGTTCCTCTTCCTTTTGAGCTTCAGTTTTGTTAACACTAGTTTGATTAAAAACAGGTCTTATCCAGGGTCATTTTCCTTGCCCCTCCCCTGACTGACTAGGAGCATTAATTTTTTTGTATCGAGTTCTACATTGTCATCTTTATTGACAAACAGAATGATGCATTTAAACAGTTAACCTCTAAATTATATGGATGAAAATACTGCAGCTCAGAGTCAAGGAGAGGTGTTTTCCAAAGCAATACTACCATTTCACAAAGTAGCAGCTTCTCTTTGCTGATTGCAACACCTACAGCTTCGTCCAGTCTCCCCGTTCCTGAAACAGACAGTTTATTGAATCTCTGGGACTATGTTTTGGGAGGAGTTGAAAGAAGGGAGCAGGATGTTCACGTGTGAGTTATTGGAACTGAAGCAGGAAGAGCAGCAGCCCAAGCAAGAAATTCTTTCAAGCTCTCAAAAGTCTCCCAGGGCTAAATATTGGCTTTTATTAGAAGACTGCTATTTTTATTTAATGATGTGAATAGCATCTTGGAGGAGGGTTGGCCTCTGAAGCCATCAGACAATGAGAACCATCTTTTCTTGTTATCAAAGAAAACAAAAGTAGTTTCACCCTGTGATTGCTGTTCATACCCACCTTCAGCAGTGGAAAGTTCCTTGATGAGTGCTGGTTGGGGCCCTTAACAGTGTGTCTTCACCAATTACTACATTTTCTGGCAAATTTTTCTGCCGTTAACGAAAGGACTGCCTCTCTCTGGGAGTTCATTGGTGTAAGAATAAAAGAGATGACATGGTGTAGGTCTAACAAACATCCACCTCTCCGCAGTGGTGGCACTTGTTCTCAGCCTATGTGATGTGTAGTTGAATTGTTGTATGAGTGCTTTTTTTTTTTTTTCTAAGAGACACTGAACAACAGTTCAGCTCTGCTTGTTATTTCTTTTTTTTCCTGTACTTTGGTCCTCAGCTACCTTTAACAAGGGATTCCCTTTGCTCAGCCTCTGAAGAAAGGAGTATCTTGAGGGCATCTTGTCGAGTGAAACTTACAAAGTTGTCATTAAAAGTTTCTGGATGAAGTGGAAGTATTATACCAGCTCATCAGAAGTATCACACATTGTTTCTAGTGTGTTACTTGCTTTTCTGCCTCTTTAGGAGGTGGACAGGCAGAAATGCACTTTCCAGGAGCCCACTGAGTCACTCCAGCAGGCAGCTGAGAGTGTAGGGGTTTGGCCCACTTTCTCCTGTCACCATAAATTGATGGGCAGGGTTAATATCAGATATAGGAAAGGAATAGCAGGCGTGTCTCAGTCAGGCAATAACTTGTCTGAGGCTGGTTCTGGTTTGGTGCAGGGATGAGTGGTTTGAAAATCAAATTAATCATGAGTTAGCCTGGTTCCCTCCAGTTCTCACCCTTCCTACTCAGTGTAGCATCTGACTCACCACATCAGCTACCTGACAGCTGAAGGCTAAGCCAGGATCTGACTAGCAGAGATCAAAGGAATAGCCTCAGTCCCAGCATCTGGGGGTGGCACAGATGTCCTGTCTTGCAGCTCTGCTGGCCTGCAATCCCATGCTCTCAGCTGTTTCTAATTCTCTCTGGATCCCATGAAACCAAAGACATAGAAAGTGCTCTCCCAGCTCCTCTGACTATGAAAACTTCCTTGCTCTGATTGCTATTTAGCAGGAGATTTGCTTCAGTTGTTTATTTGGTTTTTTTTAGCCTGGAAGAAAGTACTTCTTAGAGTCAGACTAGCTCACACTAACTGGCTGTCCATGGGAAGGACAGCTTGAGGCTATAAACAGGGTGGCAAGATAAACCATTTTAATATTGAGGGATCTCCATAAATACATTCTTCTGATCTTGCCTCTTCTCTGAAAACAAAAGCAAACTAAATTAAATATTTTGAGCCATTATTGTTTGTGTGCAAGGTTAAAGAGATGCTGTCAGTGTGAAACTATGCTGCCCTTCAAAACATGAGTTATTGCCATAGATAGGAAAATCTGATATATCTATTTTTTTTTAACTGGGTTAATAATCTTTAGGATTTTTTACACTTCTCTGAGCTTTTATCTACTGCCACACAGACTACTAATAGTTTGAACTACAGTGCAAGAATGCTGAGGGTATTCTTGAAAGCAAATATGAATTCTTCGATACTGCCCTAGTCTGCTGCTCCTTTAAAGGAATGCAATGATCAGTTGGTTAGTGGTGTTACTTTGAGGTCCAAGAAAACTGTGAGATTGTTATGCCTTGAGCTAATGGCTTTTACACTGTGTCTGTATTCATGTGCTATTACATGAAAGATGTTAAAGAACTCAGTTTGATCAAATTAGTTGTAGGAACCAGAATATATTTTATAAGTTCATGTTGAAACATTTCTGGTGGTAGCACAGAGTGACCTTTATTTATGATAAGCTGTAAGTAGTACTGTGCACTCATCTATGGATGCTCTTTACTCTTGATCAGTTATAATTTGACACAGATTCATGTGGATTATGGGGAAATTAATATAGTGGTGCAGACTTAAATGTAAAGCGTAATGTGAAAATAACGTCAGTATGAGGAGAAATGGCTGGGTATACCAGCAGCCTCAGGGTATGTCGGAGGTGGGGCTGGCTGTGCTGTTTGCTAGGCAGGGACTAACTAAAATAATCAGTAGTTATTTGAACAAGAAACCTTGAAAAAATAAACCTTGAAAAAGGATATTGCTCTGGCTTTTTAGTTTTTTTCCTTTTTTTGTGTGTGTTGATCAAAATGATAGTTGATAGAAAAGCAGTGATACACTCTAGGGATTAGTAGACCAGTGAACTTGAGTGAGTCCCATCTGAGGTGGATGGATTCCAGCATCCCAGTTTGCACGGTGGCCAGGGCACAGTGACAGCCTGCCTTTTAAGAGGTACAAAGGAAACAACTTTGTGGGTCTATGTGGCAAAGGCAAGAGAGGAAATTCTTTATTATTGGCTTCCTTATTAAAAATATTTTAACTTGATACACTTTTGTACTGCTGGTCAGGCTGTCATCTGACTTCCTCTATTCTTTATGTGCAAAGTGGAAAAAATAAAATGAAGAGAAACAAAATAAAGGGCAAGAAGTAGCTTGCCTTAGATCTTGGAAGGGATTTTTAAAGCAATGCCTTCAAAAACTTACAGATTTAACACTGTATATTTATGGAGGCAGATGTGCACGTACCTCTTGTGGAAAAACAATTTAGATGTTTCGTAACTTGTAAATGAATGTTGGCAAAATATTTTAAGGGAGAATAAAAGCTCCCTTTTTTCCTGTGTAAGGCAATATCACACGTTGGGGTTTTAAATACGGAGTTGTTCTCTCCCTCTGAAAGGAACTGGAATTACAGCTGTAACAACTGCAAATCCACTTTGCTTAAATACAAATAGATAAAATTGTGCCTGCCAGCCATGTACATTACTAGGTGCCTAATATTTGCATGTGTTGTCATATATATTCAGGGATATATCTTTAAAATAAATTAGTTCTGTAAACAAGTATCACTGTGTATTATGAAGGTTATAATTTTTACATTGTGAAATAAAAATAAAATTTTGATGTGTTTTTTGTTTCTTTTTAATATTGGATATGGCTCTAGAATTTTGGGGGGAGGTTTTTTGTAACATGGAATTCTAAGTTCCTGATTTTTTTTTATTTTTTTTTTTACATTAAATGCATTGGATAGGGAATTTTTCTTTCTATGCATCCCTCCCTCCCCAAGATCTTGCTGTTTTGCACCCCAGTATTTTATTTTCAGTTAAAGCTCTCTCCTGGTTCCCATGAGGACAGATGGAAGCCAGATACTTGTTTTTTGGATATATTTTAAAGTTCAGTAACTTAGCATGGACTTCCATAAATAAATCTGTAAGTTGCTGAACAGCTAAGAGCCACCACTGATTTTTAAATATTGGTTTTGGGGTCTGTTTCTCCAGGTTCCTGCCTTAATGATTCTTTGGAAGTGAGAAAGATAAAGAATTGTGTATTTCTACTGTTACATGAGATTATGATACCCATGAAACTTCTGGAAAAAGTGTCAGTGAGAAATACAGGGATTAAAATACAAATAAACAAAAACCACAGAAAAGCCTGGGAAGTTTTTTTGCTTTTATAATATAGAACTTATTTACCTATGTATTTCATAAAACAGATCTGTACAGCTACAGTGTACTTCATAAAGGATTTACTTTCACCTGTCCCTATGAATTTATACATTTAGGACAAAAGGCATCAGGATCACTCAGCTTGGGAAGTGAAAGGAGGATTCTTGCTATACTGGAGTGCTTCAGAAATATTTTTGGGTGTTGTAGATCAGCAATGAGCAGTTAATTCAGTTCTGCTTCCAGCTCTTCAAGGGATGACTTTATGGATTTTTGCAAATGAACATGGGTGTTGCAAAGCAATAGATGAATTTCAGTGATGGCTACAGGTTTGGGTTTTTGTTTTTTTGTTTGTTTGATTCCCCACCCCCCAGGGTTGTCCAAGTGCCACAGGTGAGGCTAAGACTTCTTGGGTATTTTTTATGTCCATGTTGACGGGACTTGGAGCCAAAATTCAGATGAGCCTTAGGGCTGAGCTCTGCAGTTGGTAAACTCAAGTGTTAAAAACGGTGATGCTTATTTTATCTGCCTGCCTGAGTATGAAGCTTTTATTGTACCATTTTCCTTCATCAGGTTTTCATTCAGGAAACAAAGTCTAGACTTATAGCTTAAGGACAGCTGAAATTCTCATGACTTGAAGTGGGGT